TTTGAGTTGCTGTGTTCTTGATTGGTTGGCAACATTGTGTTTTGTGCATTGGGGTTTCTTAGTGCAGCTTGGTTTCTTGTGAATGGCCAATAATTATTTATTCGGAAGCTAGGTTTTATTTGGGTAGCTGGCTGGGGTATGTTTGGGCTGGAGGTATTGTGGGGGGTTTGTTTGTGTCCAGGTGCTTGCCTGGATTGTGGTATAGAGATCTCTTTATCTCTGTTTCTGTTTTGGTGAGTTCTCTATTGGAAACGTTGTATACTAATTGTTTCAGGTGTTGTTGGGGGCTTTCTTGTCATGTTTTAATGTCTTTAGTTTCTTCAGGAGTTTGTCATTTTTGTAAGGGGTTATGCTATAGCACTCAAAAAAATCCCCACAGAATCCATCATATGTGGAGTGGAATCCAGCCTAACTAAATTAAATACGGATGAAGCTGATAGAATAAGACACCAAGTCACTAACATCCTATGCACAAGCAAATGACCCAAAAGCAACTTACACAAAGAAGACCTCAAAGCCCCACAAGCCCTAAGGAACAACAGCAGCATAATCATACTTCCAGCAGATAAAGGTAATGCCACAGTAGCAATGGATAGAAAAGACTACGAAACAAAATTGACAGACCTACTCCAAGACTCCACATACAAACCCATAAACATGGACCCAACCACATATCTGGAAACACAGCAAATTCCAAGACCAATAAACACAGACCAAGACTCCCAACCAATCAGGATGAAGAAAAAACCATTCTAACACAGCAGTAGGCTAGCACCAAATTTAAAACAAAAATGGCTGTGAAAGCCTGACTCACAGACAAACACAATACACAAGCCTGATGATGGCAGATGACTTTAAAAGCACAACTATAATGACATGGGAAAATACCCGAACAAAGCTGAATACCATACATATAAATACCCACGAAAACGTAAGAATATATCTTTATCTATATCTATATCTATATCATCTATATCTATATCTATATCTATCATCTATCGATATAGATATAGAGATAGAGATAGAGATAGAGATAGAGATAGAGATAGAGATAGAGATATATGAAATGTAATGCTAATTTAAAATGTGAAAAGTAAAAGACTGTTAGTGGCTGACAGTTAATATAACTTTTGTTAGGAAATATTTGCCCCTTCCCTGGGGAATGTAGGAAGATATAACATTACCTTGAATACTTTTAATGCTGAAAAGACCATAAGAATAATTTTCCAATAAATATGATTCCAGGGGACAGGGGGAATAACTTCTTTGAGGCAGTCTAATCTTTAAAGCTACCTCCATCACCACACTGTATCCATGCTGCAAAACTACAGTCTAATTTTAATTTATAATCAACTTCATTATTTAAAATTTAATGTCTTTCACAGTACATTCTTTTCTTTTGAATAATATGAATTGTCAAAACAGTGCTTTTGGTCACCAATGAATATTTTTCTTCCTGTTACTCTGGTATGCCCAAGAGACAATTTTATATTTTACACAGGAAAAGAATAGAAAGACCTAATGTAAGTATTGGTAAATGTGTGTTGTGAAATCAGTATGACAAGTACAACATTGATTTCAGATAAAGTGAGGTGAATTCTAAATTAAATAAAATGTTTGAATAGGCTTGTAAAAAAAAGTCACTCATTGCTTAAGGAAATTCAAAGCAACAAAAATAGAGAAATTGTAATCTTTTTTTAAATTAATCTTTATAAGTAGTGATCTTCAGGTTAATTTTAAAGGTGGGTTGTTTTCATTTCTTTACAACTGGGAATATAAGTATGTGCATACATATGTTTATACTCATCTATACAGAATTACTCTACTTGTTAACTGTAATGTATAGTTCTATATTTATTGAAATAATTTGAAATTCTTTGCTAGTAATTTTCTTTGCAATAACCTCTTTGCTTTTTATTAAATGTGAAACAGAGATAACTTCCCACTAAACAGATAGTATAGCAATTAATTTGACGGCTGAAGTTTATGCTTCTTCTGATGTTTTGCTATTATCACCTTCAATATGCATTTTCTTTCTCATTCCTTTATCAATATCTCCTGTTTTTAACTCTCATTGTAGCAAGTGTTGATGGTCCAAAAAGTTTTATTGCTATAATTATTCTATCCAGGGATTACTTAAAATCTGACCCTTAAAAAGATTCTTGACCTCACAAGAACTTTCCCATTTTGTTGGATTATTATATTCAGCCATCTTTGGTTCAACGTTTGAAACACCCTCAGGTTTTATTTTACCTTGTAAAAATATATATTTCTGCACTGTAATAAAGAGAAGATGAAGTGAGCTATGCAATTGTTCTTTTCATCCCCCCCCCCCCCCCATTTTCTTTTTTTAAAAATAAATTTATTGAATAAACATTAAAAATAATTGAACACAATGCGACTTTCTTGGCCATCATTTTGGCCATAGAAGCTATAGTATAGAGATACACATAACAGTTCATTTTCTTTTCCCCCTTGTTATTAGTATAGTGCTAGCTGCATATTATTTCTATTTACATTTATATACAATTATATACATATTTATAACCATCTTTTATACCCATGCATTCGTATCAACTCATATTTGTCCATTATATTCCATTCTCTTTGCTTTACAAAACTATAACTTTAATTCCTATAAAGCGTCAACCCTTTCTTTCTCTTTCCTTGATTCTTGCCATTGATACATTCTCCCCCCTAATTTCTATTCTCTACAAAGTTATACTGCTATATTATTAAATGCCTTAATTGGCATGTGAACAGAGAACTGCCATTATTATTAAATATTCTAAACTTCAATGTTAAAACCAAAATCAAAAAACAATGTGTCAAAATTACAAATACTGTATGATAAAGTAAAAAAAAAAAGACAGGTGGAAAACTTTATACAGGTTCCTAATTTCATCATAATTATTTCAGTAAGGCATTGGGAGGCTACTGTGTAATTTTTAGAGTGCCTTGAAGGTGAAAAACATTACCATTCTCTTTTTCTACTATAGTTTTCAAAGACAAAACAAACTTGTTTCAGCTGTCCACTTTTTCAAATCTATCATTCAGACCAACACTTAGGTCAATCAAAGCTGACCAGTACAGGACCCAAAGGAGAAATAAAATAACCATCTGCCACTTTTGCAGTCCCTGAATTCAGAAACAAATTCATATTGTTCCTTTGATACCACTATAAATTGTATTTTCTTTACTTTCTTTCTCTTTTTTTTCAGTCTAAATGACCTATAGTACCAAAGGTTAATTGCTAGATATATGTGCACACATGCACACTCACACAGAGAGACACACTGATATAAATAGTCACAGACATAGATACATAAACTATATGATGAAACTAAAACTGAGCAGATCCTCTTCTTCTGTAGTTAAGAAGGGATAATAGTTTGATCTCTAAGTTGAAGGACATATTCAGTGAAGTTTTCTGAACTGGTAATTGAGCTTTACTTTAACCATAGTGATGGAGTGGTATCATCCGCTGCACCTGAATGGAAATGCTTCAGGATGCTCCACCCTCTAATTATCTCTTCAAAAAGGTTTCTTCAAAATCTGCCAGTTGAGGTTGTCAGTATGGTCTAATCCTATGATTGATCCTGTTAGAATACAACTACTATATACATGTCTGTAGAGATTGTCAGTCACGCAGGTCATAGTTGTCTCAAAGGTACTTTTTCAAAAGACAACTGGATTGTTTTTTCCCTGAGGAAGACATTTTACTTCTCATCCAAGAAACGTCATAGGTTCTAGCCAAAAGGTCTTCTCAAGGAAAATACAGTCCAGTTGCCTTTTGAAAAAACACCTTTGATACACCTGTACACATTCATTCCAATATCTCACATCCAGTACAATTCCTTCAAATAAGGTTTATTTAAAGACACTTGTGATATATCCATGAGAGAAATGGATGGTTTCTAAATTTGATAATCAAACAAACAAATAAGTATCTTTCCAGGGATCCAACTTGGATGCCATTCATTTTGGCAACTCAATGCCCATTGATTAGTTTACAGGGATCTGCTAAGTTCCAAGAAGAATACAAATTCAGATCCTGCCACCACAATGGGTTAATGTGTTTTACATTCTCATTCAATTTGAATTGATCACTTCCATTTTCTTCCACCATCTTATCACACTTCTACTGCACATTTCTTCTACCATGGGGTGCAAAATGACTTATAAAATATTCCCAACATGTATCCATTGAGTTTTTTAGAGACACATCTCTGATAAGTTGCATTCAAATCATGCCCTACCTTCACTCATCTGCATAACCCCATTTGTAGTAGCTGGTTTCCATAACTTTCTTGAAATTCCTCCTCAAATTTTGCGATAAATATGATTTAAATAGAAGTCTCATGAAAGAAGAAATATAAAGAGCCTCTGTTCATTTAGATCCATAATATACTTTTAAAGTCCCCGTTAATGGCATTAGAAGAATTATGGTCCAATTCCGAGCTAGGTTTCCCAAAAGAACTTGCTTGAAGCAGAGATAATGTTTATTCAACAGCAAGACCACAGAAAAGACACTCAGTGAATGAAAGTGGCCACACATAAAAGAGGTTGGACACATTGATAGAAAGCCCATACTTTATTTGAGTTAGTGCATGAACCTATTCCGTAGGGTCTGATAGGAGGAATTACGGTGTCTCACCCGGCAGTGTTTTGCAATCTTGCCTCTTTCTGAGTCCAGGTTTTGATTTTGGCTGATGGATTTTGGTTTGGGGGAAGCCTGTTGTGTGTATAAAAAAATGTGTGTCTTCACTGGATTTTCTTTAGTTTTAATTGAATTATTGATATTTGCCAATTTCCCTAGCAAAAACTGTGCTTAGTCAGTTTTAGCCTAGGCATCACAATCAGCAGAAAGGAGTGGTACAGTGGCCTAGAGGTGGAGCAATCAGGAGGCTGTGAATTCGATCCTAGGTAGAGGCAGATATTGTTCTCTCTGAACACACTGAGAATTTATCTGCTGAATAAAATTCCACATTGGTGACACGAAGGGCATCCGGCCATTAAAACCTTCTGCTAGCTCCATTCAGTTGCCCAAACTCCACCCCGCCAGGGATTATGAGGTCGTTAAATGAAAATGATGATGATCAGAATCAGCAGAAAATCTTTTATCTTTTCGATAAGGTCTTATATCTTATTGTCTGGGCTTCGCTGACAAGTCAAGGATGGTCAAAGCTAGTGGACAGCATGGATACTAAGGGTGACATAAATTTTGTTCCCCTCCTACTGGCAATGGGAACGTTAGCTTTATTGAGGTGGTTTTTTCTTTTTATTTTTTTAATGTTGTAGGCCTCCCAGAGAATTGCAGTGGATGGTAGAGGTAAACATTCTTGAAATAAATAAATAAGTAAATCTCACAGAAGACAAGAGAGCAGAGTAATTAGCATACAGACAGATGCAAAACAACATTTGGGCAATTTTACTCATGTTCTTTCCCATTTCTTTCCCTGAAGAAACAATATCTGGGCTCATTCAGTAAATCTGAGGGCAGAGCCTTCATCAGAGCTATTAGCAAACTTCCTTATTCCTAATAATCTACAGCTGAGCTTTTAGAAGAACTATTTGACTGTACCTTGTAAAATTAAAAAAAAATCAAAATAAAATATTGTTTTGACTCCAAAGGCTTTGCTAGAGCACCACCTTGCCTCTTAAATTGCTTTGGGGTGATCTCAGAAGCAGCTTTTTCAACCCTGTTGCCTAATGCTCCATATAACCCACTGGTGCCTTTTCTAATTAAGGCCATTAATAGATGTACTTCCCTATATTTACAGGAATAGGAGCAAATCCTCCTGATGTTACCATTGCAGTCTAAAGGTGTATGGTTTTTGTCTTTGTTTTCAGACAGACTGTCTACAAGGAATATTCTGTGGAGAGTGAGGCTGAAAAGACCTTTGTCTGTGATCGCTAAATAAGTAATGTTCTTTTCCAAACGGTATAGCTTGCAGAGAATCTCTGTTATAGTTTAATGTTGGCGATAACCCAACCTAAGGCAGATTTCCAAGTATTGTGCTACTGTCTGCATGCTCCTATACAAGAGATGTGTAATATCATCTGAGAAAATTGAATAAATGGAGTCAATTATGAGATTATCCTTTTTTTTCACCAACTATTTATAGAAGAATGTCATTATAATACAAGCAATTATAAGTCAAAGGTTCATACTGAAACGGGAAAAGTCAGATGTGTTTGGGAAAATCACAAAATGCTCAGTGGGATACCTAAGAGCAGGGGGTCAAGCTTGATTTCATTGAGGGCTGCATCAGGGTTGTGTTTGACCATGGGGGGAGGCGTGGCCAGGGGGGCATGGCCAGTACATCACTTGTGTTAGGTCCGCCTTTAATGGCCCAAGCACTCTGCCACCGAAAATGGATCAGCCCTCCCAAGCTCCGTCTTTGCTGGCAGAGGTGCCATGGGCTGGTCCTTTGCTGTTTGGAGGGCAGCCCCACAGACCAGACCTAAACACCTTGTGGGCAAGATTCACAGGCCTTGAGTTTGACACCCATGGGCCTTGAGTTTGACACCCCTGCCTAATAGTTTTAGCTTCAAAAATATTTGGAAGACATCAGATTAGAAAAGGCCAATTCATTTTTCAACCTAAATTCCTTCGCAGAATGTAGCAAAAGAACCACACCATATCTATCAACCAACAACCTCTGCTTTCAGAAGGATTAGGAAAATGATATAGTAATAGTTATAAGTTTATTTATATGATAGTGTATATGTATGTTTATATTCTCATTTTAACCAACCTAAGCCTTTTTTTCTGATTTTCAAAAAGTTGATTTTAAATAAATCCTTTGCACAATTCATAGATTGTTACTTTGAGGCGGGAAGGGCCTTGTGCATCACAAGGATGCTATGAGTCATAAACCCTGCATCATCTGGCAGGCTGAACAAAGAAAAACAGATCCCTTTGATTTCTTCTGGAGAAAATAGTTGAGAATATATAGGATCGCAAGGCCAAATAAACAATAATCATGCAGTACTAAATGATGTACTAGTGATAAAAATCGAGATGAAACATATTTTGGATTCATAATCTAAAGCAAGTTTAAGACTTGTGGACTTCAACTCCCAAAATTCCTGAGCTAACATGACTGGAGGAGGAATTCTGGGAGTTGAAGTCCACAAGTCTTAAAGCTGCCAAGTTTGAAGACCCCCGATCTAAACACAAAAATCACCAAGAAGAACTTGACATTTGAAAAAATTAAAAGCCATAAAAAAGGGGCCTATCACTGATGATAAAAAGACCTTAAAAGGATTCAGAATCAGTTACTTCACAATTACTCAAATGATGTTAATTAGATCACAAAGAGTAAGAGGTAACTAAGCAATGTGCACATTTTTCTTGTTGTTAGTCCCATGAAATTTTATGTGGGTTATTTTTGAGCTGACATGTATAAGTTGGCAGCCTTCAAGTAACGTCTTAATAAATGTATTCACCGTTTTTAATTGTAAAACTATAGACTCTTATATGCTGGACCGAGTGGGAAAATTGACTTCTTTGATGGGTTTTTTTCAGTTTAAGCAAATGCTTTCTTGTAAACAAATTGTAATAATAAGGAAGGAAATCAAAATGAATAAGGAAGATCCACTAATAAAAGAGCTCGTGGCTGTTTTGCGGTCCAGTTGTGGTAGCTCTATAGGAGCAGAAACAGAAACAAATTAGACAAAAAGTAGACAAAGGTAAGTCTGAGTGGAGTTGAATTGAGGATAAACTTTAAAACAAAAATGTCTAGGGAAATCCTATGCATTTGGTCATCCAAGTGCAGAAAATAATAAAGACTTTGTATCCAGCATCAAATAAAACATGTTTTATAAATGTATCTAAGCAAATGTCTCCTTCACATGTGAATTATTTAATTTAGGTTGTTATTTATGGTCTTTTCCAGACTGAACTATTAAAAGCAAAGTTGACATAACAAATTTTTTTTTGTTCCAGTTGCCATTTAGTAAGGAATTTAATGAACAAATTATCTGCACATTCCCCCTTTTTTCATACTAACCTATCAGATAAGACCAAACTCCAAAAGAAAAGAGCCAATCTACATTGAAAATTGGTCCTAATTTTTCCTCACTTATGAAGTACAGCAGCTTATGGCCATTTTGTTACCTTTAGGAAAGATTAGAGATCCTTTAAAAGAAATCATGGATCTATTGATCTGCAACATTGTGGACTCTGGAGAATAGCTAAAACAGTCATGACCTTGAAATGTTACCGTGTATTTAGGTTACAGTAGATTAGAACAGGCGTGTTAAACTTGTGTCATCATGTGACATAATGTGACTTTTTCCCCCTTCACTAAATTGGGTGTGGGCTTAGCCAGCACATGACACATCCAGCCTGCAGGCCGTGAGTTTGACACCCCTGTATTAGAAAGTCACAAAATACATAAAAGAGGAATTGGCAAATTGAAGTTTATGGACAATATTTCTAAAATAGGCTAAAAAAGAGTTACCCCACTTCCATAGAGGAAAAAGACTACTTCAAACCTGGTAGGAAAAAAAAGGAGGGGCCTACTCAACAGATAACCAAAGACAGCATTTCTGGGCACAGAGGAGTGACATAAAGGATTTAAATGTCAAATTTATGTTATTTAAATTTACATTTAATGTCTACATTTAAATTTAAATATAAACATTCCTAAACTACATACATAGCAAGCATTTGACCCAGAACTTTGAGCTGAAAATTCAAAGCAAACAACTTTGCTTTTAACAGTTCAGTCTGGAAGAGACCATAAATAGTGCTCAGTAGCAGAGCTACAATATGAGATTCTGTCCTTTAAAGCCCAAAGAACAAGCTAAATTAGAGAATAGCTGAAGAAGAATTTGCAAGCAGTAAGAGGAAAAAGAGAAGCTCAGCAGAGCCACTGTGCAGGAGAGAGGCACTAACGAAATGCTACATTAGCTAGTTAATTTGCCTGCACACATGCGCTATACTCTAGACTTCCTCAACCTGGCTGGTGCCCTCTAGATCTCTCATTAGATCCAGTCAAAATAGCTAGTTCATTATTGTGCAATGTATCTGGAGGGCATGGGACTCAGGAAGGCTGTCCACATCGACAGAACTGTCTTTGCTGAGTATTCTTCGATTTTTCTGCACGGGCAAGATCTTTCCTGAATGTGCAGTTTTGTGACAACTATTTCCTCCTGTATTTGTCAAACACTCTTTGCTCACCAGATGGGTTTTCCCTAAGCTCCTGTGCTACTAATAAAACTGCAGTAATGTTTTTGTTAATTTATCACTCTACTGAAGTCTAATAATGGACCCTACGTGGCTAGGACAGAATAGAAGTACATCTCCCATGTACCGTGTACCGTCGTGGTAAGCAAAAGCTGTGTTGTGTTAACTGTCAGCTTGAGAAATAGCTGACATTAGTTATTTTAATTAATAGTTTACTTTGCTGAAATGAGCTTCTATGGGAAGCTATGGCTCACATGAAATCTTTACGGCAGTGTTACTTTCACAGACTAAAAGACAAAAATCTCATTTTAAAGTAATAACATCACCCTACAAGGTCACTGGTGACAGCTGGAATTCACGTGTCAAGGAGGCATCTACTTAGATGCATACAAGAAATATGTTTAATTTTGGAGAAATATATATATATATATATATATATTATTAAAGCTTTGTTTTCGAGCAAGCTATCAATAACTAAGCTGCAATGTTCACTCTGGGCAGGTTATGGGATTGGAGTTCAATAGATCTGGAAAGTGTCCCATTGAAGAGAAGCTTCTGCAAGAAAAAAAAGGTTGTTTTGTATTGTTTGGTTTTGAGTCTTATTTAAATTTGCTTTCATCAGACTCTCATCTGAAGTTGTTTCTGATCTTTGTAGAATAGTAACATCTTTAAATTAATTATGATGACACCGACGACGACGACGACGACAACGATGATGATGATGAAGATGATGATGGTGGTGGTGGTGGTGATGGTGATGGTGGTGGTGATGATGATGATGATGATGATGATGATAATGATGATGATGATAGTGATGATGGTGGTGATGGTGATGGTGGTGGTGATTATGATGATGATAATGATGATGATGGTGGTGGTGGTGATGGTGGTGGTGATGGTGATGGTGGTGATGATGATAATGGTGATGGTGGTGGTGGTGGTGATGGTGGTGATGGTGATGGTGGTGATGGTGGTGATGGTGGTGGTGATGATGATGGTGGTGGTGGTGATGGTGGTGATGATGATGGTGATGGTGGTGGTGGTGGTGATGATGATGATGATGATGATGATAGTGATGATGGTGGTGATGGTGATGGTGATGGTGGTGGTGGTGGTGGTGATGATGATGATGATAATGATGATGATGGTGGTGGTGGTGATGATGGTGGTGGTGGTGATGATGATGATGATGATGATGATATCCATTCAATCATGTTCAGCTCTTGATTCTATGGGGCAAGTCTCTCCACATCTGATTTTTTTGCAAAACACTATTCCATCAAGTTATAATCTATCCAAACCAGAAGAACTACCTAAACTGGATGCCATACTCCTGAAACTCATAAGAGATTGGTTACACTTGTCTAATTACAGTAGAAGGATATGTTTAACCTGATTGTTTCAAAGGACTGGATGGAATGCTTACTTTTGTTTTTGGACTTATTGTTTCTAACTGGGATTGAGAAGCACTTTGCTTCCCCTATTGTGCTCCAATACCATGATGTCTCTTTTGAATGACTTTTACAACTCGAGTACAAATAGCTCTTCTCTGAATATTAATCAGTTTAACTTTTTTGTGGACAAATTCCCTCTGAGCATATAGAGGCACCCATTCTGAACTTATAGAAGAAGGATAGGATTTAATTTAAAAAAAAATAGCTGCGTAAAATATTCCACCTGGGTTATCCCAGGTGTGCAGTAAGCAGAAACACATGTTGTACACAAATTTACGCTGATGTGTGCCTAGAACTTGTCATATTCACTTTGCAATTTGTCTCCCTTATTATCACACATTGGTTGTTTCCGCATCTGTAAGATACTATGTTTCTCAAAAAAAAAAAAGAATAATTAATGCATTTTTGGAGGGAGCAAGAAAACATTTGAGTTCCATGTGTACACAGACCATTCAGTGTGATCTGGAAGCCAAACATGATCTATTCCAGATCTGGTCTCTCCAACAGAAATTTATTTCACTTTGATTCTCTCATCAAACCAAGTTTAATAAGATATAGTGAGCCCTCTTTTCCCAAAGTCTTGCATGGGAAAATACATGATTTTGTGTTTGCCTGTGTGTGTTTGTGTATATGAGAGTGTATGTGTGTGTGCATACACAAATGTGCATATATACAGAGTATATTTTTTTGCCAAATAGGGTGAAATATGCAGTTGAGATAATCTGTTATGAGGTGATAAAGCTTGTCAAATTTCAAAGACTTTGGTATGTGGGTTTTTGAACTACCTTCCTTTAAAATCTGATCATTATTTTTAATGCCTGAAACTGTTTGGTGACAGAAGGTGATGACATCTGCAGAGATAATAGATTTGTTCTATAAATTTCAAACGAATAAATTGAAGAGCTTCTGTGCAAAGGAAAGAATGATGTTAATGATCTACCCATAATCATAAGGATATTAATTATGCTTCTTCATGAATACAACAGAGTTCTTTTTTTTGCGATTAAAAGCAGGTCTAGTTGATAGGCCATAAAATATTACACAATGAAAGTCTAGGAACAATTCCATACTGGCAGTATTTTTATGACCCAAATCTTCAAAAGCAATGTGAAAACAATCCATGTTTTTTATTTCTATTCTCTTGAACATGGAGAAATACTTGTTCTTTTTTGTCCCACCATTTTAGATCAGAATAAAGAACAAACCTTTCTGCTCCATTCCTTTTTATAATGACATTTTATTCAAATTTTAAATACAGAATAAAAACTAAAAAGAATTAATTTGGAATGAATTAGAAATCATCTCTGTCCCACATAAAAGAACCTTCATGCTTTTGCATGCTGCTGTACTGAAGACCAAACCCTTGTCGGTTACACCCCTGTTTCTTTTGTCTTTTATGCAACAGTGGGAGCTTGAAATCTTAGAACCCAAAGGAAGACCTAAGAAGAGTTCCCACTACAGATGTGGTCTTCAAGTTGTTTGGCAACTTTTGAATGAAAAGACTTAATGATCAGGCCTCAGAGGTAATGATCAGGCCATTATAGTTATCCCATGATCACATGAAGAAAATGCAAGCACTTTGCAATCCCCTCACACTTATGACCAGTTGATGATTCCCATAGTCATGTGATCACCATTTGTGACCTGTTGGTTTCCTTCAAGCAAAGTCAATGGGGAAGCCTGCAAAACAATTCATTTGAATAAATCTCCCCACCCCCACATCTTCCTTCCTGTGCTTACACATATCCATATGTGTACCTAGCACCCTTTTCCCCAGCATTCCTGGGAACCTATTCCTCACAACCTTTTTTCTCCAATCATCTAGCACTCTCATACACTCAGTGCCTTCTTTTCCCAACCTTTTAACACGTGCATCCTATGGCCTCTTTCTCTGGCCTTCCTGTGCTCATGCCACACTGCAGCATCCCCCACCCCAAAGACACGTTCAGCCTCAACTAAGCCTCCCACGACATCCCACGACATCCCTCTGCAGCAGTCCCCACTCCTTATCTGGGATTTCTTCTGCTTCCCTTTAATAACCTGTGCATCTTGGGTTATGACAACTAAGGCTGCCTGGATTGTCATCACCAAACAATAAAATTTTGTGATGTCATGCTTTATGACTGCCCTGCTTAGCAATGGCAATCCCCATCCAAATTGCAGTTATAACTATATCTACAAAAAAAAACAAAAAAAATAATCCTAGTTCCTCTGTGGTTTTAACTACTTTGTAGCTGGGTCAGAAATAAATCAGCTCAGTTTTCCAACACTGCTGATGCCAGAGAAATATTGATTTCTAGAGCTGATTTCAAACTAGCACAAATCCCTTGAGTGAGAAGGGTGAAATGGTGGAGAAGGGATTGGCTTCCTCTCAACTTATACATTTTTCCACCTATCCCATCAAATTGCTATGGATGGAATTACAGTAATATATTGGCTGGGAGATTTCACGGAATCCACTTAGTACCATTCGTATTTTGCAAAATGTATCTTAACAAGGCTCAGAGTTTTTGTTGAGTTTCATGTACTATCCCGAATAATTCATCTGCTATTTAGCCTCTACAAAATTTTCAGTTTTAATGGAGTATTTTTTTTTATCATTATCATTTCATCATCCTCAAACTCACCTTGCTGACTATTATATATAAAGTCCTAAATGGACCTGAGATTACTGTGTTTGAAGTATTGTGATTTCCACACGAATCTGGCCTCAAGGGCTGCCTTCTTTTGAGTTCCTATTTTGTGCTCCAAGCCTATGATAAGTGGGATTGGGAGAAGGGGTGAGTGGCATGCATGCCCTAAGGGAGTTCAAACTTATTCTTCCTTTATTGTCAGTCAGAACAATTGTTCTTATAAATTGTTTTATCTCATTGCTATTTTATAATGTTTATATTAGCTTTTGTTGCATTATCTATTTACATTTTTGCTGCCCTTGAAACTCATTTTGCCTCCCTTCCAAAATAAGTGTAAGAACATGTTATAAACAAGTGGATGAACTTAAAATAATAGCAACCCCCAGATAATGATTTTTTTGTTGTTTTTTTCCTTAGAGGACTTTTCCTGCTTCTCCAATGTCACGGAGAGTGCTTGTAATCAAGATGCACTTAAAGCCTTTTCCTGTGGATTCTCAAGCTCTACAGATTTTTCATTCTGCAATGTGAAACCCTTGTTCCAGCCTTAGACTTGCATTTTAACATAACATTGAAAATCCTCAGCTCTTGTGACATTTATCTTGTCCCGGCACAAAGGTTTTTTCAAGGATTGTTCAGCAGCAGTAGAGCAAAACATTATCTGCTCTTCTAAAGCGCACAGCCCTCTCCTATTTGCACTTACCTAGTCCAAACATGCCCTTGCAGTATCTTTGTTTTGCCATATTCTCACAAAATTACCTTTGTCTTATCCCTAGCTCCTGAGTGAAATAGCTTGTCAGCCTTAGAAGAACCAATATTAAAACATAATTGTGTTCTTTAATTTGACAACATCCAAGGGCAAGCTCGAGGAGTGTAAAAAGCTGTGAGTTTTTGTCATTCCAGATCTTGGAGAAACTGATTGCGATTCAAAAAGAGGGGCAAAAAGAGACAAGACAGCTTGGCGGTGGGGACAGGCCAATATAGTTTTCTGTCTTTCAAAGATGGGTTGGTAGCACTTCAATTCAGCAGTGGGGGAAAGCTCTCAAATTGGCTTCAGCTTGACTTGCTCTTGTATCTATTATAAGAATGGAACTGCTGTAAGTGGACAAATTTAGGTTTTTCTCAGTGGATAAACTCAGGTTTGGTGGGTAAGCTCAAATTCATAGGATTAAGGGATATTAGGACAGGGGATGGAATGTCAATGTCCTCACAAACTAAGGATTTCAGTAACATGGAGTCAACTATCTCAGATACCTTGATCCAGAGTTCTTATCCTATGGGTGAACTAATCACATGCAAGTCACAGATCTACTCTTTAATGAACCCAGAGAAGCAGAGAGGACAAGGCTTGAGTCTACTGCAACACTGCAAGAAAGGCAGTTTATTGCCAGCTGTTTCAATCTGGAAACATTTGGAGCTACCCCTAACTCTATTCCATTCAATCAGCAATTCTCATTTCTTTACTGGTGGTCTCAATATTGGCCTTTGGAGTTCTTCAACTGATTATTATTGTTGTTGTTGTTGTTGTTGTTGTTGTTGTTGTTGTTGTTGTTAAATTTATACACAAATCAACTCCCAGCAACTCTGGTATTTTCCCCCTGTAGGAAGCAGAACATAGTCTGCCACTGTAGAAATGTAATTATTTGGTTTCAGTTCAATTACTGTAAAATCTTACCTTTGTAAAAGGAGTAGTATGCTATTTCTTTCTATACTTCCACCATATACTCAACAGAACAGCAAACAAGTGGTAACCAAATTTTATTTATATTTCATTGTATAATTCCTATCACAAAACTAGGATTTAGACAGTTACATTTTTTTCTTATGTAAAATGAATCTGAATTAGAAAATGTGATCAATAAAATTACCACAATAGCATACCTGTAGAATTGACACTGAACCATTTCAAAGGGCTCAACTAGGCCTGAGTAGTTTTTCTTGAGAGTATATAAAAATAAGATTTCAAAAGTTGGCCTGCTGTATGCAATGACTTTTGTATACTTTGCAAAAGATGGACTTTGTTTTCAATATACCCATTGCAAAAGGAGCATTAAATTAAGATGCATTAGCTTATGATCAAGGAGAAGGCTGGAAAAGGGCTTGCACCAATAGTCAAAACTTTTTACACTTTGAATCATCCAACTTTATTGCCATCTGTCTTAACTTAAGATCTTATTTCAGGTTAATTATTTTATATTACATAGTTCCTTGCACCAAAAGTGCTTTTTCAAGAGGCAATTGGACTTCTGGTTTTTCTTTGAAGATGTTTCACTTCTCATTCAAGAAGCTTCTTCAGCTCTGCAAGCTTCTTAGATGAGAAGCGAAATGTTTTGAAAGAAAAACCAGAAAGTCCAGTTGCCTCTTGAAAAAGCTCCTTTGGGACAACCATGACCTAGATGACTGAGAATCTCCATAAGACATAGTTCAGTTGGTATAACCTAGTTAGATTTGACTGTTTCTCAGTTCAAGGTGTTATAATCAGGGCCGGCACCAGGATTAAGGCCAAGTAGGGAGTTGCTTAGGAGTGCCAAATTTTAGGGTACACTGATATTGAAGACATTTCTGAAAAATACAATAGAAAAGCAAAAGGCAGTAATGGTGCACTCTTTGAGCCAATGCAGCCACTTGAGGGTTAAATATAATTTCACAGTGTAAATACAGTGTGAAAAAGTCTCAGAAAGGGAAAAAAATTGTCTGGGGATGAAAATCATAAGTCTAAAGCTCAAGAACTCAAAAGAAGGGGGGAGAAACAAGAGAATGCCTTTTTGAAATTCCTAACAAAATCGGAAGATAAAGTAAACCATAGAGGACACCAGAATGTGACTTTGCCTAGGGTGCCAAAGTGTCTAGAGCCATCCGTGGTTGTAATCTTAGCATATCTGAAGGACATCTGTCCTATTCTGAGACATTAACTGAAGCCTTAAGGCTTGTTGGTTTAACTTATAGATTCCAAAAGTTGAAAAGGAAAACATGTGACTAAGACAATGCTTATGAGGAGCGAACTTCAAGAACACCCGGTACACACTTTGGATTCCTATTGCCACTTTTTTCTACAGAAAATCATGTTTTGTCACACTATTTCATTTTTTTAGGCAGTATGTCCCTGGAGTGATGAAATGTGCATTATAAAGCAGGTACTCTATTTCATGGAGATCTGGATCAAAAGTCATGAATTCTGTCCCTATTTTGCCTTGCTAACCTGAGAATCTATAGTATTATATCTTGTTAATAGATTCAGAAGTTCATACATTTCATCTTTGTGACAAGCTTCATATATGAATATGTGACCAACTATTTCTCTCATTCTTGATCCTAGTATTCTCTAGGTGTGCTGAATTTCAGCATGGTTTGGAGAGAGTTGGAATGTAGCAGTTTCTTTCCTGTTATTAAAACTGGGTCAAACCATTTGTCCATCTAATATAGAATTCTTTTCTCTGGTCATAATTTGCATAGTCATTGCATGTGTCTTCAAAGGACACAGCTGTTTTAATTCTTTGAGTTGCAATTCTTTGTTCATGCCAACATACCCTGCAAGGTGCCTCCTGCTACCTGGAATTATTTTTGGAGTTTATTTTGAGATTCATCTGAATCATGTTTAACCTATTCTGAAGAGACACAATCATTCCTCTGTACATACTTGGATTTTTCTGACTCTGCTTGCTGCTATAAGCCTATTGCATCTTGCAGAAATCTGAGCCTGAAGGCCAGAAATCTCTTGCTGGTATCATATGAAATGACATAGAGGCTGTTCAAACGAAACTGGTAATTCTCCCTGATTTCCAATACAGGCAGTCCTCAACTTACAACAGTTTGTTTAGTGATTGTTCAAAGTTACAACAGCACTGAAAAAGTGACATGTGACTGTTTTTCACACTTATGACCATTGCAGCATTCCCCATGGTCATGTGAACAAAATTTGTATACTTGGCAACTGGTTCATATTTATGATGGTTGCTATGTTCCCGGGGTCATGTCATCACCGTATGTGACCTTCTGGCAAGCAAAGTCAATGGGGGAGCCAGATTCACTTAACAACCTTGTTCCATCTGCAGTGATTCACTTAACAAATTTGGCAAGAAAGGTCATAAAAGGGAGAAAAATTCACTTAAATTTTTTTTCGCTTAGCAACATAACTTCTCGGCTCAATTTTGATGGTAAGTCGAAAACCATGTGTACTGCATGAAATCATTGATCCAAATTATAGAAAACAAACTATTCTTTGTTCATTTACACTCCTCTCTCTTTTTTCTCTCTCACACACACAAATACCCAACACTTTATAATGACCCTAATCTTTCTTATTATTATGTCACACAGATGACATAATAATAATGAACACAGTTCATTATCCTCTCAGATTCTACGATACGTGTATGGCTGTTTTTTAAATGGCATACTGAGCATCTGGTGGCATCAGTTTTTAGGTCACAAAAAATGCTAAGGCACCAAAATGAGCCCTAAGACCACATGTATACAAATGCACACTTCATGTAGTATTAGCAATCATGGAATTTTCTCACATTACCTTGTAATTGCACATTTATTATACCATACCCTTTACAATAAAAGGTGTCTCCTTTCATTCTAATTTTTGTAAAATATAGAAGAGTCCTTGCCATAATGTAGCTAAGATTTAACAAAGTAGTGATTAGCATAAAATTAAGTAGCATAATATGTCCCTATTAAAAAGCATTTAAATTAAACGATTCACATAGCATGTGAATACTTAATCACGTATATTCATAACCCTAGGTACTGATTACCTCTTTTTTCCAGTTCCAATATCAATAATATAAAATGTTTATTTACATGTTCCTTACAAGTCATCTCAATTTGTTTCCTTTCCATTATCTCTCTTCTCTCATTCTTTCTGAAGAAAAAGTTTTGTTTTTTTTTTTAAAAAAAGAGAACTATTAGGACGAAGCCTAACCATAATATTAAAAATGGAAAAGTTGTTAAAATATGTGCTAACCTGATGAAATCCCCCCCTCACCAAACAATAAGGTTTCTGAGATGCATATAAAATTACTTTACACCATGTCCTTCAAAAAAGTTTAATACATAGTCGGGTCACATTATTGCACATCAAATTCTGAGTGCTTCCAACTGCCAGTAGCAATTATCTGTAAAAGAACATGTTTTCCCCCATGACTAGCTATGAGGGTTTTTGAGTATACCTAAGCATAGCCTTGAGCAAAAGTTCTATAGGGAATACAGTGTTTGGAATACAATATTGCAGTTGGAAGAATTATCAAGGTTTCTGTGCAATATGTCTAGATACATTTGTACATCTGCTCGAACATATTGATATGTTTATCTGTTGATGTTAATTACACGATATAGCTGTATATAAATGTAAATAGTTCTCCCGAGTCTCTACCAAATGTTGACAAAGAGATTTAATAAAAAGAATTTTCTCACTTTCCTCCCTTTTTTTAAAGAATAATATCCCCCAAACATGGAGTTGTCATTTTACCAAATTGCTTGAACTTGTGTTTTGTGGTTGTATTAGATCCTTTCTACAATAATAAACCATTTGTCTTAGCAGACAAAACACTGGTTAGATGGCACAGTGCAGAAGGTTACAACATACAATTAATTTGCTTCTGCTCCCAAAACACCTTATATTGTCACTAATATGTATTGTCAATAGATTAGACACTCACTGAAGAAGGGCTCTGAGTGTAAAGCCTAATCCACTGCATAAAAATCTAACTTCCCATATTTTAAGCATTAGTTATGGTGCTAAAACTTTCATTATTATTGCATCCAGTCAGTGAAATGCAGTGTTTTGGGGCATGACAATGAGTTGAGGCAGATGGGGGAAACAAGAGAAGGTATTTTTCACTGAAATATGCATTTATAATTATATTAACATTGCTACTTTCTGAATATGAAGTGAAGCTAAGTGACAAAGGGTTTCAAATGAACAGAAGTGACATCCGTTGTAACTCTATTTTGTTGAATCAATCCATCCTATCTTCACTTGCAAAGCACTTAAAGTCAATTGGGTTGAAATGGCATATGAGTCACAGTAATCAATAGATTGAAATATTGTACTAAACATGAGTAAGATCCTGATTTGAGTTGAAGGTACAGCTCTTTTTTTTTCTAATGAATGATTCAAATCAAATGATATATTTGTTGGGAGCAAACAACTAATTCCCACAACACTGTCGAACTATTTACTAAGACTGTATTACTATTATTATTCTCATCCTTCCCATACCTATTTCCTTTTCTACTTATGACTATAACTCTGTTGCTTGTATCTTTATGATTTATGTTGTTTTATTGAGTTTCCTAGTATGATTTATGTTGATTTAGTATCCTATGACTATGTGTTGTATCTTATGATACATGATGAATGTAGTTATAATGACTATAATCATGATGTTCACTTATATCTTTTATATACAATTAGAGCTTATGCATCCAAGACAAATTCCTTGTGTGCCAATAAAGAATTCTATTCTATTCTATTCTATTCTATTCTATTCTATTCTATTCTAT